CATTCCAATTTTTAATTTTTGTATATTTTATTATATATTACATATATATGTCATTTATGTTCATCATTATACTGAAATTGGAAGTTTTTATCAGTTAAGTTTCATTTTTTTCTTCATCAGTAGTCTCTAGTTTCTGAACTGTCTAAACTTTGGAATTGACCAGGGATCTTCCCGCAGCATTGCTCTGTCAGTTGCTCAAAAGTTGGGAAGTTCTCACTGTCAATGTTCTTGAGGTATGACATTAGTTTCTTTGTCTTTTTAGTAGCTTTTGATATATTTGTGTATTGTGATGCTGTGCCTTTTGGAGAAAAGAAGACTAGTTTTCTGAACTGAAATTGTCACATAACTCAGCGCTTGTGTTTTGTGATCTCATTCTGCATGCTTTGTTGTGGCCTTTCTTTCTTCCTCTTCTTCTTTTAACTCTTGAATATCATAGTAGTGAATATATGCACAGAAGATGATTTGGAATTCATCTCTTCGTTTGCACATAACTCAAGGCAATCTCGATCTACTTTTGTTTATTAGTCAAATACTAGTCAAACAATTGAATGTCCACAAAAGATAATTTGGAATTTTGACACACATCATTTCATTTATCTTTTCCATAACTTTATGTTGTGCCTGAACAATTATGAAATCTGTTAATGAGAATATATATTCCTTAATAGCTTTAAAAGTACTCAATGGTCTATGTGTGCCTTAGAGATGCTAAACATGTAAAGTACTCTGAGTTTCTTACAAATGCTATGCTTTGTTGTAATTTTGTCATCATAGTCTCCTTACCTCACGAGTCTCACCTAGCTATTACTATTACATGATTCAAGCAGTGATAGTGGTAGATTACTAAGTTAATTGAGTGACCATCAGTTATGTGCTTGAAATAGATTCATGGCATGATAAAGGAACTGCAGTCCTTATTGAAATTTGAGGAAGGAGGTTGCAAACCAGATTTGACTGACATATCCAAGTATCATCTCTTTCCCACTTCCGTTCCTTTTAAACTAGCATGTGAACTGCCCTATCTTATTTTTATTTTAAACCTCTATTCATGTGACAGGAGGCATATATCTCACAGTGGAAAAGCTGCTATATTAATTGATTGCATGGTTAGGTAATTCTTATTACTTTGCAATTGTCTTTTTCTAAAACTATTACCCTAAGCCCCAATGAACTGACCTAATTAATTTTGAATCGGAATTGGAGTAGGAATGGGCGAATGGGGCGAATGGTACTGAATTACTAATACGCCAGAATTGGAATGAAAACCAGTTTGATTACTAAAATGCGCGGAGAGCTGTCGGGTTAATGTGAATGGGTAAACTTGAAATTTAAAAAACAGTGTGTAAAAATAATAAATTTTGATTCCTTGTGTTTCCAGGAATAAAAATATTTCACCCCAAAGAGTCCAATTCTTCAAAATCACGAGTTATTCCTTATTCTGTGTGGGCCTCACTTATATTTTGATTCCAGATGTGAATTATTAAACATGAAGCATTGAGTCTATTGACTTCTCTCTTGGCAGTGATAAGGTTTAGGCAAACACATATGACTCCTTTGTGTAATATCATAATAAAGCAACTGAAATGTGCTTTCTTAATACCTGTTATCTGGATTGGTTTTATACCTTACTTTCCGGTTATTGAAAAGCATTCTGGGCTAATATCGTCCCTTCTATTTTATTTTTTAATGTCTTCATGACAGGTATTTCATGATGCCAATTGAGTGCATGCATCTTCATGAGATTTTCTGTTTTAGAAATGTTGAAAAACTTCAATCGGTAAGCATCACAATGGCTGCTCTGATTAATATACCTATAGCTGCAACTTGCTACTTATGATGAAATTCGTATAGGATTTTCATACTATCATATTTTCAGATATTGTTGTGATTTAAGCATTGAAATTCTTGGAAGTTTGATATGTAATGTTTTGACAGGTTATTTAGCTGATTAGCATGCCTGCCACTTATGAAACATTTTAAACCTAATTTTGGAACTCTATAAATTAATTTCTTAACTTCTTACTTATTTCAGGCTTTAATAGGCGACTCAAGGAAGAGGATTCAAGTGGATCTTTTGGAGTTCCATAAAATCCTAAGATGCAGTTGCTGCAGTAAGATTGGCAACATTCCATTGTCTCCCATGCCTGATACCTCAATTGTGTGAGTATAATCATAGCCTGTCACCTTAAAACTGTTTGAAAAGCTATGAGAAACATTGATGCAAGCTATGGAAGCCATAGCTCAAGTTTGCACTGTACTTACTGAAAAGTGATGCTAATTTTCAGATTCGTTATGTTTATATCCAACTACTTGTAGTCTAGACATGTAGGGTCACTTTGTGATCATTGTCAAAGGCAAAATCAAATTTCTACTGGTTTCATATCATTATGCATATTTGGTAAATCTTGAATTTTTTTTTTTTCGTCTTTCGTCTAGGACTGAAAATATATTTTTTTAGGGAATTTTCTTTTCTGACAATGAATAACTTATTATCTCTAGGTAATAATTTGTTTGCATTGCCTTTTGGTATTGGATGACCAATAGGTCAAATCATACATTATGAGTAAGGGAATACAAGACAAATGTTTGAATCATAAGATCTATGGCTGATAAGTGTACATGTGATGCGTTTTTGAATCATGGTTACTCAATTCGAGAGTAAGCGGGAATATACCAATGTGACTTAAAACACTGGACATGTGTTTCTTTAACTTGGTTGTTATTAGATGTTCATTTTATCTCGTAGGTATACCCTGGCTCAGGAGCATGGGGATCTTATCAACCTTCATGACTGGTTCCAGTCTTTCAAGACAATTGCAATTCAGCCCAAGAGGAAAGCGAAATGCAAGTTAAAGCAGTCCCCACTACCCAAAAAAAGAAAGGAAAGCAATGACTCTGAAAACAAGAGTGAAGCATCTATTCAGTATCCTTTTCGATTTTCATTCTTCCGAGTGCAGATTATCTTCACTTGTAGTGAGTTGATGCAGTCTCGTTTGGCTTATATATAGATGAATTATGCATTCAACGGCCTGACTTTAGACTAAAGAACTGACCTAATCAAAGATGTTTACGGTGCTAGACATAATTTTACTGTTTCTGTTGACCCTTTTTTACAGCTATGGAAGGATAGAAATACCAGTCACGAAACCAAATCCCAACTTCTCTTGATTATCGTTTTCTGACCTTGTCACGCGTTGTGAGATGCAACAGTTCCCAGGGGTTGTCGATCACATATCTGCTTTGTTTTTATAGATGCATAGCATAGCATGCATTACTTGTTCCTGCATCAAGGATTATGTTCTGTTGTGTTTTTTCCCCATATTGAATGACTGCCAAAAATTTGAGTTGGATGTGTATCATGGTCCTTAACCTTGCTTTTCACAGAGCACGATTTTGCAGGGCAATTACAGAACTACAGATTACAGGCCTCATTCGGATGCCCAGCAAAAAACGTCGTGACTGTGTGCAGAGGGTGGCCTTTGGTCTCTGACAAGTTGTACAAGTTCAGTTTGGCTCTTAATTCCCAAACCCCCCCCCCCCCCCCCCTCTTTCTCTCTCTCTCCTCACTTGCATCGGCTTGGAAGTACTGTGTTTTAAACTAGTATTAAATAAATAAGATTCATAGTGAGTTTAACATTTGACACGGGAAAAAAAAAAAATGAACGAAAAGTTTAATTTTTTTTTTTTTTTTTAATGAAAAATGACAAGTGAATGGTATCAAGAAATGTAAAAATGTAGTTTTTCGTTAAAAAGTGAACAGTGCCGGGAGTATTTAGTTAAAACTCCAAAAAAAAAAAAAACTTAAATAATTTCAGATTTAAGAAGTTGAGATAAAACCACATTTGTTGGGGTTCGCATGTTGGGTTTCAAAGGATAGTAGGAAGCTTAAAATCATGCATTTTGCCTTGAAGTTGCTTGGATCACACAAATATAATCAAGGGTGAAATGGGAATGTACTTTTAAATATTGTTGGTGGTTTCATTATCACAAATCATGATGATTCTCATCTTGTTGTTGCGGGTACAAAACAACTAACAACTTGAGCACTCTCATGGCTCAAGCTTTGGCCCTCAAAGTGGGCATCATTCAAGATAAGGATCCTAAGGATTCTGAAATTCTATCCGTTCATCGTACATCGTGCTGTAAAAAATTATTAAATACTGTTTGTGTTTAATTTTAAATAAAATAATTAAAAATAATTTATGACCGTACGATGATCGAATAGGATGTAAGAATCTTTAGAATAATTTATGTTGGTGGATTTTTCAATTGGAGTTATAGGTTGCGTCCCAGCTTCCATGGATGGTTTTTGGGCATTATTTTAACTTGACATCTTAAACAAATGAGGTTTAGTTATATTATTAGACCCAGACTGCAAAATTCCTTCTGCATTCTTATTCAAAGGAAAGATTTTTATTCTCTTCCGAGCTGAAATTTAGACGGGCAATTTGTAATTGCACTTTTACTTGGTTTGGTATTTTGTAATCGTATGAATGTAACGGATAATTTTCAATTTTCATTGTATAACTGACAATCCAAGAAGACGCTTTGTAATTCTTGCAAAATTCAAGTTAACTAGATATGATATGACGTGGCTACTTCTGCCAATAGCTGTTGCATTTTTCTAGGGCATTCCGCTCAATCCCACATTCCTGCCTGCCGTGTTACCTTCTATATTCGGAGAAATTAGTTTTAGTTGTGACAAAAACACAAATGGTATATCACGTATTTTTATGTAAATGATGAAAATTTTAATTTTTAAATACACGTATATTACTATTTATATAAAAACATGTGATGTATCATCTCGTATAACGGTATCATTGGAAAGTCTGTCATTAATTTATGTGTTTCCAAATTTCAAACAGATTATTCATATTGTAGAGGAAAAACAGAAGGAAAATTCTAGAGGCCATCTTTTGCCTTTAGAAGCCATAATTGTATGCTTCCAATTTTCAGACGGTCACTCCACCTCTCCACCATCCGTTCCTCGGCTCCCTCGACTCCAACTCTCAATCGTCTTCTCCTCCTCGACGACAGTGCTCACCAGCCTCACTTCACAGAAATCACCCAGCCTATTACCGCCGTCGCGACCAACACAACGGCACCACAACGGCACCACCCATAAACCCATCCTCCTCGACGACATCCCAGAGAACCCAGCTCCCAGAACCACGACGGCTCGATTCTCTCCTCTTCGACAACACCACCGCCGTCGCGACCACCATCACCCCGTCACCGCCGTCGAGGATACTGCTACCAGCCATCATCCCTCCAAAATTTAGGTAATTTTGAATTAGGCTTTTGTTATTAATGTGAATTTCTGGTGTAGGGATTTCAGGGGTTTTAAATTAGAATTTATAGATTGATGATTGATCTGTTGCCACCATTAATGTATTTCTGAAACTTTGGGAAAATACATGAACACAAACTAAGCTCAGCAGAGAGATCTTCAGGTTTTCTCGGCAAAGTCCTTTTCTTTAGATCATAGCATTGTGTTCTTTATTATTCGATTAGTCTACATGGCCCGGGTGTTGTTTCGAAAAGCACCCAACTACAAGTGATTATTAGACAGTGTGTGAACAGACTCAACACCATTGCATCTGACGTAATTTTTACCCCATTTATAGCTTTCGCCGGTTCTTATGAAATTTGATACTACTTGGCCCAGTGGCACGTTGGAGTTTGCCTTTAGACCTTGAGTCTAATCTGCAGCTATTTTGGACTCTGCCCGTAATAAAAAATAAAATATTAAAAATAAAAACCAAGTTTTCGTAGTTAACTTGACCCCATTTCATCACCCTTGGGGTAAATTCTAGGTGTGAGAGAAAATGATTGTAGTGATTTTTCATATTCTGTTTATATAAATACATGTTATGGAATTGCTTCACACATGATTGTACCTGACCTGTGACTTCAGTATATGAAAATCGGATTGCTGTGTTTTATATGAACTTGTACCCTTTTCTCCAATGTTTTTTTTTCCCATGTATTAATATTGGATTCCTTCATTTTGATTATTAGGCAAAGATCCCTGATATTGAGAAGTCCTTAGACATTGTTGCCACTTTGCAAGCCAAGAAGGGTACTGGTGAGGTTCCTTTTTTGTGATTCTCCACCCTTTGCAGTATGTGTAATACTATACTTGTTCTATTTCTATTTGTATTTGATGGATTTTCCCTAGTGATGTCCCATTTGCGAAGCATGTTTTCTCATAACACATTAGCAACATTGAGTATGAAGCAAGTCCGGTACTTATAGCTCTCGGATATTTTGTATGTTGATCTGATCTTTAGATGTCTCGGATGTTATTTTGAATGTCTCGGATTTAATGTATCGAACGATGTTGGACGATGTAATGTTGTTATTTTGGATGTAATGTTAATCTATGGACTTGGATGTTGGACTTTGTAATGTTTGGATGTGTTGTGCAAACTATAAAATCTGTACTGTGAGTGAATCTGTGCGGCTGTGCTGCAGTAAAAATTTAGTTTTTTTCCAAAAAAAGGACCCGTGGACCTGGCCCGGACCGGCCTGTTTCGGTTAGGTCCAGTTCCTGCATTAAAATATGTTATACCCACCTGGCCCGGCCGTTTCTTTTAAACCCGGGTCCGGTCCCTTCAAAATTGGGCCCGGCCTGGCCCGTGCCCAGCCCTACTCACGAGCAGTGAAATTAACCACTTATTTGTTGATTTCTACATCCCGTCGTTTTAGTAATTCTAAGTTGTTCATGTGAAAATCTGTGGGCTTATTGTCAGTTCTCTGTTTCATTTGTCTTGGTTAGTATTCATGCATCAGTGATTGCAATTTTCTTGTCAAGATTGATTAACTTCTCTTTCCTGATTCAATTTACCTAAGATGATGTCTTTCATACAGATAGCATGGAAATTTGGTATTTTCTTGACATAGGTCATTCTTGGATGATTCAGAATTTTTTCCTTCGACACCACTAGCTTTTAAAATGAAACCAAAAACAACTGCTGTGCCTAGAGCTCAGAGATCCAAATCTTTTCAGGGGGATGGACCTAATTGGGTTCTTATTGCTGGTGGTGCCTTGTTAAGTACATTGTCAATTCGTCTTGGTTACAAGCTGAAGCAAGCACTTGACACAAAGCCCCAGGAGAATGCTAGTAATGGTTCGAATATTTCTAATGTGCATAGCTTTTTCCTTACAGTGGCTCCTTCTACCTTGTAACATTGTTGTCAATTTCAGGAAGTGGAAAATCCTCTGACCAAAGAAAGTCTGCAGGTTGCCGTGTGCACTCAAACGTTTATTCCTTTACACAACAAAATGATGGAGGTTGCTTTAATTGCATGTCAGGTATGGAGTAGTAAATTCTTGGCTTTGGAATTTCTGAGGTTTAAACAAGTAGTTTCTGTTCAGGATTCTAAATTAGTTTTGGCCAGTGGTTGATTACACATTCATTTGCATGGTTCTCCTTTGGGTGTGAAAGCTTGTCTGATATATTGTGAGATACAACCATATTGAAAAAGAAGAGAATGAGAAACTCGGTGGTCAGTTTTTAATGCTACACCTTAATCTAACTGGGCTTTGTTGAGAGTAACAACAATTGGACTCTTTCTGAAGAGTGAGGTTGAAGAACTGTATGGAAAGTTTTGTTGTTAAACAGCAATCCGTATTTGGATTGATGCTAGTTGAGTTTCATTTGAATTGTGTTATGTTTGTTGCAATTTATTTGCAGTTCTCCCATATTGCTTGATGAGCAGTAGCGTGATATATTATTTGACAGCCCATTATAATAATCTGGGTGTTTCATATATGTAATGGGTTTGAAATAGGAACTGAGGGCATGATGGAGATGAAGTGCCTGCCCAATGACCAGATGCTGACTGAATCTGATGGTGCCTTGCCTTTAGTCATGGTTCCAGCCCCTGGATTTAACAAGGACAATGGCATTGTCTGGGCATCTTCTCCGGATTGCCTTGAGTTGCCTCCAAAGCCATTCCTCCAGTATTCAAACTCCTCAGATTCTCCTTGTGTTTCAGAATCTGGGTCTGACATCTTCAGTAAGCGGGAAGTCATACAAAAACTGAGGCAACAACTGAAGAGAAGAGATGACATGATATTAGAGATGCAGGATCAGATTGTAGAGCTGCAGAGTTCACTGAACACGCAGCTGGCACATTCTACCAATCTACAGTCACAACTTGATTCAGCAAACAGGGACTTTTTTGATTCGGAGAGAGAAATCCAAAGGCTTAGGAAGGCAATCGCTGATCACTGTGTGGGACATGTGAGCCCCATTGACAGATCACCCAAGGTCACTATTTGGCAACCTGAAGAAAGAAATGGTCATGTGAATGGATTTCCTGATGGGGAAAGCAACTTTGATGCAACCGAAAGAGGAAGAGGGGATGGAGAGAGGGTTGAGATGCTCAAGAGGGAAGTAGGAGAATTGAAGGAGGTGATAGAAGGAAAGGAATACTTGCTACAAAGCTACAAGGAGCAAAAAGCAGAGTTCTCACTGAAAATCAAAGAGTTACAGCAGAGACTGGATTCTCAACTCCCTAATATTTTGTAGGAAACATTTTGCTTTTGTGTATTCTTTTGCTTGTTCTGCTTGTTTTTGTGTATTCTTTTGTTGTGCTTGTTTTTGTGTATTCTTTTGCTTGTACGCATCAGCCTTACTTTTGTCTTCAAAGTAGGGCACTCGCTTACGACGGTACCGCTCTACTCACAACACACTTTTCCTTTCGTGAGAGCCTTTTCCCTCGCAACTTTTCATTGAATCAGGAACCGAATTGGCCATTGCCTTTGAAACAAAACCTTTCAAAACTAGGTTTTTGAAATTGTGTCTATATATAAACTGTAACATTTTGCACGCTGAAGAACTTCATCACTCAAAATGCGTGGTTCGTTGTGCAAAATGTGTTATAAATGCACACTAAATGGGAGCGGATAAAGGGTATTTGTCCGTTTCAATGAAACTTTGAGCGACGAATATGTGGAAATTTTTGTCGCGTAAACATCTGGAGGAAAATTTTTTTTTCTCGCTTTTTCTTGCGCGACGAACACTTGTGATCGTCGTGCGAAGTATTCTTATGTGACGAATATTTTCGTCGCATGAAGTTTTATTTTTCCTCTTATCCTGCCATTTTTGCGCGACCAATATATTTTTTTGTTGCGGAAGTGCGACGAGGAGGAGAAGAAGTACAGAGGGATACATTTGGCTCCCACTTTTGAGGTGCCTTGGATGAGCAGGCACCCAAAAACTGGCGACTAGTAAGTTCTCAGCTTATTAAAGTCCAGTGGGCCAGAAAACAGGAAATGAAAAACATACATCTTACTAGAGAGCCGCCGAGGTTTTGGATTTTCCACCTGAAAGTGATCAGTGCCGGCGCCGTCTAACATGGCAGCCCTCTTTAACCTGAAGGCCGGCAGATTGGGTCGTTCACTATTTTCCAAAACTAAAAGATTTGTTCTTGGAGATGTAAAACCCCCACATTGTACTCTTCAATGTCTGATACTCTGCAGACACTTGGCCTCAGAAATCTCAGAAACCCAATCCAATTTCACAGTCAGTTACCTCATAAACTCATGTGGGTTGTCTCCGAAGGGTGCAATTTCAACATCTAAGCGGGTCAAGTTGCGATCCCTGGAAAGAGCAGACTCCGTCTTGGCCCTTCTCAGAGACCGTGGATTCTCTGCAACCCAGATCTCCAAGCTTGTGAGGTCGTGCCCACAGCTTCTCGTAACCAAACCGGAGAAAACCCTTTTGCCAAAGCTTGAGTTTTTCACTTCTCTTGGAGCTTCAAAAGATGACCTCGCAAAATTTCTCGCTTTCTCTCCTGCTGTTTTGGGTATGAGCTTGCAGGAACGGATAAAACCCACTTGCCATTTCCTTAGGAAACAGCTTTCTGAGAAGAAGCTCGTTGTTTTTTTGAAGAGAGGCGGCCCGCGGATTTTCTTGGAAGGCCATTCGAAGAATGTGGCGCCAAATATTGAGATTTTGAGAGAATCAGGTATGCCCCAATCATGTATTTCACTGTTGCTGGTTCATTATCCTAGCTCTTTAATGCGGAAGCCTGAGAATTTTGGCAAAGTTGTGGATGAGGTTAAGCAAATGGGATTTGATATGGAAAAAGGTTAAGCAAATGGGATTTGATATGGAAAAAATTGTATCTGTTGCAGCAATAAAAGCATTGTGCAGTAGTAACAGTAAATCCATATGGAATCGTAATTCTGAAGTTTATAAAAGGTGGGGTTGGTCGGAGAATGATGTTCTCTCTGCTTTCAAGCGGTTCCCACAATGTATGACTATGTCGGAGAAGAAAGTAATGCAGGTAATGGAATTTCTAGTGAACAAAATGGAATGGCCGGCAGGAGTGATTAACAAATACCCAATCATAGTGGCTTTCGGTTTGGAGAAGCGAATAATCCCAAGGTGTTTGGTTGTTAAAGTTTTGATGGTGAAAGGATTTATAAAGGAAATTGAAAATGTGAGTTTGTGTTCTGTAATGTGCCCTGCAGAGAAATGCTTCTTGGCGAAGTTTGTGGCCAGATATATAGATGAAGTACCTGCATTATTGAGTGTGTATCAAGGCAAAGTTGAAGTCCAGGATGCATGACATTGGTTGGTCAGGAGAGGTGAGATTGTAATAATTTTAGCCTCTCAATTGGTAGAAGCTAACATATCGCTTTTGCCTTCCTTATACCTAATATGCTGTTGATATTCTATGGAAGTAAATTCAGTTGTCAGTCATGGCCAAAGAGAAATAACATTTGTTCATCTTCAACTCCTCTGACTAATCACATTAGTTTTATATACATTCTTATCTGAAAACCAGCTTCAGGTTGACCTGCACTCCGAGGTGCATTGTTGGTTCTTAAATTTGGATTGTCTTCATGATTTCTTTTGTTAGAAAACATAAATTTACATGCTTCTTATGGGTTCGTTTTACTATATAGTTTAGTTTACTCTGTTACTAACTACCCTCTAGAAGCTAGCCTTTTTTTTAGTGGTCATGGCCTAGATCAGTATCATTGTGTCATTTTGATTCACTTGTGCTTGTTTCTTAGCATTTGCCTTTTATCAAAAAATAAATTGCAGTGGGTTGTGAGTGTTAATTGGGTTCTTCCGGGACACAAAATGCCAGCTTTGGTGGGATTTGTTATCATGAGTCATTTGGCTTGTATTCTTAGTTATGTGAAGGAGAATGTGATTCCGGAATCGTTGTATTCTTAGCATTTTATTCATGCTGTGAAGTTATGTCTTCTTTACAGCGAGTACCCATCCCAGTGCACCCGAATTGTTTGGTGATGGAATGAAAGTGGGATTTTGTTGCAAGTAATTAAATGGCTATTTAGGTTGAGATATGGTTGCTAGCCATCCTAGGTATAAATGTTGCTCATTTATGGCCTAGTTTCCTATGCCAGACAGATGAGGTGATTTAGAGCTTCTCTCTCCCTTTCTAGAGTGATGGTGAGAAGCGAGAGTGTCATAAGGGAGATCGGGTGGAGAGAGTATTTGGTAAGTTTCGATCTGGTTATAGGAAAGGCAGCCTACTCTTCTTACTGTTTATATAGGTCTTACATAGTGCTTGATCTTATTTTTCGTTCTATTGCTTGGTACCCTATGCCTGCCTTGTTTGCAATCAATAAATTGGTACTAACGGTTATAATCTCTTCCACAGATTCACTGGTGCAATTCTTCAAAGGTAATCAAAAACCCAAAACAGTCACAAAACAGCTCAAATTGCCCAGATGAAACTTTCTTCTTCTTTTATATCTTTAATTTATATTAGTCACGGTAATTGTGTTTGTTTTCGTAGAAACTGAGTGGAAAAATGAAAAGAAAAACAATCACTGTTTCCCCTTTTGTTTCATATCAGCTGTTGCCTTATTGAGAAAATGTGACACTCCTCCCAAGCAAGTATGTAATAAATCCATGTTTAAGCTACGAGTCTGATTCAAGAATATGTTGTCGATTTCTACAGAAGATTCTCATATTCGTCAACTATTCCATTGAAATGCTTGTGCATCACTTCCATTGTCTGCTTATAAATATTTACTCAGCAGTTTTTACTTGTGTTTATTAGTTTGAAGAAGAATTGTTGGTGTCTGGAAATCTTGCTTGCGTACGTTGTTCCGTGGTTTAAAATATGTGAGCCACTGTCGACATGGATTGGTGAACGCATATAACGGCTGACATGTCTTGATGCAAATCTTTTTGTCCGTAAGTTCGGCAGGCGAGGAACTCTTCACCTTGGATTTCCATCGGAGGTCCATCTGTTCTTACTGAGTACTTGTAGCTTGTACATTTAAGTTTTACATCGGGAGAGTGTTACTGGACGGGCGGTCTATTTTAAGCCTGTTTCATTGTAATTTCTTTGTCTTGCGCTGGATGGGTTGTTTTTACCTTGTGCTGGCTTTAGTTTTTCTCCCACGTGCACATGAGTCGTGTGCATGGCTGCGCCTGACCCAGACATTAACGAGGGCGATGATACTGCAACTTAATATCAATGCCATGGTAGCGACGTTAGTGCTCAATAGAAATTTCTGTGATATGTGTCGATATTTTATATCAATACGTCAATATAATGTTGTTAAGATGGCATTAATGTTTGATTATTATATTGTTGTTCACGTCAATCTCTCAAGTGATGCAAAGATTAAGTTACATGGCACAGATACACTAACATGTAGCATCTCATACCGTTAAAATAAGAACATATAAATAAAAATATACACATCTTTATTTTATTAACCTAAAAGGTTACCGTAATCGGGTCGCGTGTTGGGGTTTTGCGCCTAGGCAATTAGGCGGGCACCTAGGCAGACCAGACAAATTTAAGTAAATTTATTATATTTCGTATTAATGTGTTTACTTATACTTGAGTATATATAACCTCATCATAACCCGTAAAATAGAATGACATATATATTATGAAGTATTGAAAGATAATGAAAATATAGGGAATAAGCATATAATATGTGTTTATTTAAGTATTCAACAAGTCTTTTATAATTTATTGAAAAATAAATAAAATGCAAAATTAAAGTTATCTATTTTTTATCGAAGTGAACCACGACCTAAATACCTAGGCGAGTCTGAACCAGCTAGGCGGTTTAGGCATACCCCAGCAAGTCTAGGCGTCATTTCTTAATTTTCAAACGTCTAGACATTAATCGGAACAATGATCAGCTAGCTTACGTCTAGACAAGGCTTATCGGTGATAAGCGGAAATTTTTAGAACAGTGACCGTAACCTTAATTGGCACCAGAAGCTACCTTAACGGTTTAGTCACAAAGTTCTCAATTCGAAGCCCATGAAAAGCTCGGCTTTCTGCCGGGCGAAATGCTAAAACCCTCTGAACGGATGAGCCGCCGAGGTTTCGGACTTTCCACCTGAAATTGGACATCGCCGGGAACCTAACATGGTAAGCCTCTTCAACTTGAAGGCCGGCAGATTGGGTTATTCCCTATTTCCCAAAACTAAAAGATATGCTGTTGGGTTTGTGGATCTAAATCCTTCGCATTTTGATTCTTCTCTTCAAAGCCTGATACTCTGCAGACTCCTGGCCTCAGAAATCTCAAAACCCCAAACCAATTGCACAGCCAATTACCTCGTAAACTCATGTGGGTTGTCTCCGGAAGGTGCAGTTTCAGCATCTGAGCGGGTCAAGTTGCGATCCCTGGAAAGATCAGACTCCATCTTGGCCCTTCTCAGAAACCGTGGATTCTCTGCAACCCAGATCTCCAAGCTTGTGAGGTTGTGCCCACAACTTCTCGTAACCAATCCGGAGAAAACCCTTTTGCCAAAGCTTGAGTTTTTCACTTCTCTTGGAGCTTCAAAAGATGACCTTGCAAAAATTATCGCTTCCTCTCCTGCTGTTTTGAGTGTGAGCTTGCAGAAACGGATCAAACCCACCTGCCATTTCCTTATGAATCTGCTTCCTAAGAAGAACTTCGTTGTCTTTTTGAAGAACGGCGGCACGAGGATTTTATTGGAAGGCCATTCGAAGAATGTGGCGCCAAATATTGAGATTTTGGGAGAACTAGGTATGCCCCAATCATGTATTTCTCTGTTGTTAGCTCATTTTCCTAGCTCTTTAACACGAAATCCTGAGAATTTCGGCACGGTTGTGGATGAGGTTAAGCAAATGGGCTTTGATATGGAAAAATCAGTGTCTGTTTCTGCAATAAAAGCGTTGTGTAGTAGTAATAGTAAGTCCATATGGAGACGTAATTGTGAAGCTTATAAGAGGTGGGGTTGGTCGGAGGATGATGTTCTCTCTGCGTTTAAGCGGTTCCCTCAATGTATGACTAAGTCGGAAAAGAAAATAATGCAGGTAATGGAATTCCTAGTGAACAAAATGGGATGGCAGGCAGGAGTGATTAACAAATACCCAGTCATTGTGGCTCTCAGTTTGGAGAAGCGAATAATCCCAAGGTGTTCGGTTGTTGAAGTTTTGATCTCGAAAGGATTGATAAAGGAAATTCAAAATGTGAATTTGTATTCTCTGTTGAACCCTGTGGAGAAATACTTCTTGAAGAGGTTTGTGGCCAGATACACAGATGAAGTACCTCAATTATTGAGTGTGTATCAAGGGAGAGTTAAAGTCGAGGATGTATGATGTTCGTAGGTCAAAAGAGGTTAGATATTGTTGATGTAGTATCGTAGATGCAGCGCTGCTCATTGTCATTGGTAGCAGCTAGCTTTTAGCTCGGTGTATTTTTCTAGATATGAATTCAATTGGTTGTCATGGATGAAGAAAGATGAAAAATCATTTTTCGTCTTCCCCTTACACTGCCTAGCTGATTTCGTTATACGTATACTCTCTTATTTGAAATTAACTTGAGATTGACCTGCTCTGCTCTGTGGTTGTGGCGCCTTCAACTATAGGATCGATGGTCCTTGACTTTGTTCATCTTGGAATTGCCTTCGGTAGATATGTTGCTTCTATTCAGTTTCAATTTAATCTATTTATAGATATGAAGGAATGAAAAAGCTTTTGTCTGATGTTTCAAATTTTAAGACGTGTAAGATATCTGTGCTTGTCTGTGTCTCTGTCCTTGTTCTGCTCTGCTAATACTTGTTATCCACAAATAGCTAGTCTTGTTTGCAGTGACAATGGTTGGGTGGTTAATACCATTCTGCATTGTGACTCCCTTGTGTTAGCCTACTTTGCGAGACCATTAGGATCTTGTTATGCTGAATATTTCTAGTATTTAAACTGTCTCGTTCGCACTTTACCCTATGGGATCTCGTTATGCTCAATATTTCTCGTATCCAAACCATCTTGTTTGCACTGTTTACCCTATTTGTTTTGAAGGCTCTGGAGTCATATTTACGGTGAAGGTGTTTTCTTATTGCTCGGATTTGTTTTGAATGAAAGCTTCAAAATGATTCCGGAAGCCAGTCTTCTCCGAAGGTGAGTTCTTCATAAGCTTTGACATTTCCATGGCCTGGCAGATGCATAAGTTCCATATAACGTATGATGGAAAAGAATGCAACAATCCAGCAATATGCACACGAAATGGTCAACTTGGAAATGTGAAAAAGTACTTGTAAGAAGCCTGGTAGACAGTTAACTGTAAAGAGAGATGGAAACATATTCGGCATTTCATTATCAGGAGGAATCGGAAGTGCGGAAATCATTTTCCACGACAAACGCTCCAAAGATGCTAGCGGAAATATAAGGACCAATCCATTTAACTCTTCTCATCATCTAAAGACTCTCAGTGAGTGATTCACACAAGTGAAGCCCCCGTCGATCATGAGATTATCCCCACTTATATACTTGGACTCGTCACTTGCCAAAAAGAGCACAGCATTAGCTACATCATCAACTTTCAGTTCCACTCCTTGCAAGTTGGCATTTTTTGATACAAAAGATCGGAAACCTGTCCCATCTTCGATTCTCGCATCCTCCTGCAGGTGAGCCAAAGCCAAATTCGTTGCAACTGCATATGGAGAAACGCAGTTAACGCGTATCCCATGATTCCCAAGCTCAGCTGCAACGTTCTTGGTCAGCCCCAACACAGCATGCTTAGACCCTGTGTATGCATGTGGTCCAATGCCTCCTTGAACACTTGAAACACTGGAAAGAGAAACTATGCTGCCCTTTTTCTGTGGGATCATTGCCCTAGCTGCGTGCTTCATTCCGAGGAACACTCCCTTCACGTTAATATCAAACACTTTCTGAAACTCAGATAAGTCTGCATTGCGGATGTCTGGACAAGGCGAACCTGTCACCCCAGCGTTGTTGACTATGATATCCAGCGTGCCATATTTATCGACAGTGAAATCAACTGCACGGCTAACATCATCCTCTACCGTGACATCACAATGGAGATAACAAATGTTTGGATCTCCGTTGAGGGATTCGCACACTTGTAAGCCGAGGTTGTCCTGCACATCAACTAAACAAACTTTTGCGCCATGCTTGTGGAGCAGGCGCACAATGCTTTCTCCAATGCCAGTGGCTCCGCCGGTCACCAGTGCCACTTTCCCTACTAACCTGAGGAGAAGGGAAAGAACCGAGCAGCCATTAGGGAAACCTATCCACATAACATGGCCTTAAAATTGTACATATTTCATTTATTTCTCACACGAAATTAAGATAAAATTTCAGTATTGTGAATTTGTGACGATATGAGAAAGCCAAGTTCAAAAAATTTTGCAACCGGTTTCAGATTCAGATGAATAAAAATTTCGAGATTTCAGTTGACCAAGAAACCTTGATCATTTTCAGGGGATTTTGAAGTATATGATATACACCAGAATGTTCGGTCGTTAAATCTTTAGTCCGGTATCCGATGACCAAGATCTAACGGCAAAACCTCGGGTGTATAAATCGTTTAGATGTGCTTTTAAAATGACTGAAAATGAATTTAGAAAAAAAGCTTTTTGATTCAAAAAGCACTTAGGAAGCATTTAAGTACTTTTTCCAAATTTACTTACATTTTTATTAAGGATTTATTCCAATAACATTTTCACCAAAAAACTTTCATTCATTTGAAAAGCTCATCTAAACAAGCTCTAATTTACTACCACATAATCTGAAGTTATGCCAAGAGTGAAGCAAACTGTAAAAACCACAAAGGAAACTAACAAAAATGATTTTCCGCCGTTAGATTCAAACCCCAGATCACGGATTCACATGAACAATATAAGCAAAGCTGTATTTGAAGTTGCAGATTTAACACCCAGAAAAAGCAATGAACAACAAAGCAGAAAACGCAGAAGTGGGTGGTGAGAAACGTATAGGAGAAAGAGAGGTAAGAGTTTGTTACCTCTGGAAGTTTGGAAGCGAACCCGCTTGTTCAGTCATGGTGGTGGACAGAGCCCCACCTCTCTCTTCTTCTCTCTCTTTTGTCTGAATATATTCCTTTCTCTCCTCTCTGCTTTTCTACCTACTTCACTTCTTCCTAAACCTTTGTCAAGTTTACTTTTTCTTGGCTGATTCCCATTTTATTAAAAAAAAATAGTGATCAGCCGTAGAATCTATTTCATATCGAACTTTAACGATTCAAATTGTTTATTTTGTAAATTTTGATTTATAGATCATTTTTGCAAAAAATTAGTTTAATTCGAAATCATTTGTCTATTTAATTATCACGATGAAATTTCAATATTTTTCTTAGAGCAAAGTGTTCGTCAATTTATTTGAACTCAATTTGATGCCTCAAATATTTTTGATTTGGTTAATATTTTGTAAGCATGATTTATGAGGTTCAACTTGAAAAATAGACGATTCGGATCGTAAAAATTCGATATATGGACCTTACAATTAATTCTCATTTATAAATACTAAAAATAAATAAAATAAAATAAACAACTAATGAAAAGAGTTTGAAAACTTTAAGGTTTAACAATTAGGATAAAATAAAGGGTAAAGTGAATAGTACCATGATTGACTTTTTAGTATAAAAGTATGATTTTTCGTTAAAGTGAACAGTATCATAAGTTTTTCGTTAAAATTACCTTATGAAAGATGGGAACCCTCCCTTAAAAGCCTCCTATAACTATTTAAAAATACATCAGACTAGAAGGACATATGATTGATATTTAAAAATTTTCACCCAAATCACACATGGGTTTGTTTGAGAGCAATACTTCACATGAAAGTCGATTTTTCATAGCTGAAGCATGAAATAAAATTATTTTCAAACTTTAAATCTTATTTCCAAGATCTTTGATTTCGAGATATGTGCATTTCTAATTTCACGTTCTTGATGTTGTATGGTGGGTTCCTATAATTTTTTCTCATCGATCCACTGTATTATTGAGGGTTTAGAACATTACAATGTGATAGAATGTTTACAACGTGACCAAATCAAAGCCCTTATCCACAATATAATCACTTTTCAAGGATATTTTGCGAAACCTGAATTTGTGTTAAGTGCTTATTTTTTTATAGCGCTTAAGACAAATTTCAAGAATTTAAGCAACTATACGTGTTGAAACTAGTTGGGATTGGTATCTCCAATGGTTGTTTATGATCATCCTCTCTTCAAATGAAGAAACAATTAGTTTAGGGTTTAGGGTTGAGAGTAGGCGGAATGAAGACTACAGGAGCTGGTGCATCATCTTCTAGTGGTGAGGGTTGCGTGATGAAGGTGGACCAGGACAATCGACCAATAGTGGGCAACTGCATTAGGCAAGTGGAGCCATCAACTCCAATGCAATCAGCGTTCGAAAGAGATGGTCGAGGAGGAGAGGTGATGGAAGAAGACTGTTTTGAAATAGTCAGGGGATTAATATGGTTGCCAGCAAGGGTAGCTAATATTTTCAACCGTGATGGCCCCGACATGTCGAGGAGAGATTATTTAATGTATCTAAAATGAAAAGCGATACATCATATACTATTATATTTCATAATGAAGTTAATGAATTGGGTTCATTCGACATGTCCTATCATCAAAATATACAAGTCATCGAGCAAAAACATCTGTTGTAATAAAAGTTCAAGAGACGAATAATCTTGTGTTGGCAGTGGGTTTTGATGAGATGTGATGTGATTGGGGGATGGAAAAAAGTGATATTAGATATACATCAATTTGAAGTGATTATGCCTACAATCTAAGGGTGTACATACGTCAAAAGAAGGAAGGGGAGTCACAACTAGGGGCCTTTCCTAGGGATGAGGATGGTCATTCGCATTGTGAGGATTTTAAAGATTCTTATATTCAAGCCGTTTATCGTATATTGTGTAAATAGTTTTCGTTAAATACTATTTGTGTTTAATTTTAAATAAAAAAATCAAATAATTTCTGACCGCATGATACACGATAAATTACTAAAATGTAGGAATCCTATTCGATCCAATTCCCTTTCCTAGGCAAGCGTTGGAACAAAAATTCAGCATCACCGTGAATAGTTGAATTGTGCGAATTAACCATCTACAAACAAGAACAAGCAACCGTAATTAATTTAAAGTACTGGTGTGTTACTGGTTTAAGCTTTCGACGATTATGTTAGTATAAATATTTTAGAATTCAAGACTAGAAAGCAGAGTATGCAAAGCATTATACTAGTCCCAAGAGAGTTATATATATATATATATATATAATTCAAATTAAACTAGAAGAATCCTAAAATATATCCAGCATAAGATATTGGAATATAAGATCTAGCATCCTTGGATATAAATACAACTAATCGAGATATTTAAGTTCAGTTCCGTTTCAACATTCACCTATTTTTCTTCCCTTCGTACAATTTTGTTGCTAAGTGTCCCTGTAGTCGATAAGTTTAGACGTGAAGATAAACTTACAAACTCGATTGGATCTCGTTATGCTCAATATTTCTCGTGTCCAAACCGTCTTGTTTGCACTGTTTACCCTATTTGTTGTTAAGGCTCTGGAGTCATATTTACGGTGAAGGTGTTTTCTTATTGCTCGGATTTGTTTTGAATGAAAGCTTCAAAATGATTCCGGAAGCCAGTCTTCTCCGAAGGTGGGTTTCTTCATAAGCTTTGACATTTCCATGGCCTGGCAGATGCATAAGTTCCATATAACTTATGATGGAAAAGAATGCAACAATCCAGCAATATGCACACGAAATGGTTAACTTGGAAATGTGAAAAAATACTTGTAAGAAGCCTGGTAGACAGTTAACTGTAAAGAGAGATGGAAACAAATTCGGCATTTCATTATCTGAAATTGGACTTCTATGAAACAGATAAGTGCATCAGGAGGAATCGGAAGTGCGGAAATCATTTTCCACGACAAACGCTCCAAAGATGCTAGCGGAAATATAAGGACCAATCCATTTAACTCTTCTCATCATCTAAAGACTCTCAGTGAGTGATTCACACAAGTGAAGCCCCCGTATTATCCCCACTTATATACTTGGACTCGTCACTTGCCAAAAAGAGCACAGCATTAGCTACATCATCAACTGTCAGTTCCACTCCTTGCAAGTTGGCATTTTTCGATATAAAAGATCGGAAACCTGTCCAGGCATCTTCGGTTCTCTCATCCTCAGGCAGGTGAGCCAAAGCCAAATTCGTCGCAACTGCATAAGGAGAAACGCAGTTAACGCGTATCCCATGATTCCCAAGCTCAGCTGCAACGTTCTTGGTCAGCCCCAACACAGCATGCTTGGACCCTGTGTATGCATGTGGTCCAATGCCTCCTTGAACACTTGAAACACTGGAAAGAGAAACTATGCTGCCCTTTTTCTGCGGGATCATTGCCCTAGCTGCGTGCTTCATTCCGAGGAAAACTCCCTTCACGTTAATATCAAACACTTTCTGAAACTCAGATAAGTCTGCATTGCGGATGTCTGGACAAGGCGAACCTGTCACCCCAGCGTTGTTGACTATGATATCCAGCTTGCCATATTTATCAACAGTGAAATCAACTGCGCGGCTAACATCATCCTCTACCGTGACATCACAATGGAGATAACAAATGTTTGGATCTCCGTTGAGGGATTCGCACACTTGTAAGCCGAGGTTGTCCTGCACATCAACTAAACAAACTTTTGCGCCATGCTTGTGGAGCAGGCGCACAATGCTTTCTCCAATGCCAGTGGCTCCGCCGGTCACCAGTGCCACTTTCCCTACTAACCTGAGGAGTAGGGAAAGAACCGAGCAGCCATTAGGGAAACCTATCCACATAACATGGCCTTAAAATTGTACATATTTCATTTATTTCTCACACGAAATTAAGATAAAATTTCAGTATTGTGAATTTGTGACGATATGAGAAAGCCAAGTTCAAAAAATTTTGCAACCCGTTTCAGATTCAGATGAATAAAAATTTCGAGATTTCAGTTGACCAAGAAACCTTGATCATTTTCAGGGGATTTTGAAGTATATGATATACACCAGAATGTTCGGTCGTTAAATCTTTAGTCCGGTATCCGATGACCAAGATCTAACGGCAAAACCTCGGGTGTATAAATCATTTAGATGTGCTTTTAAAATGACTGAAAATGATTTTAGAAAAAAACATTTTGATTCAAAAAGCACTTAGGAAGCATTTAAGTACTTTTTCCAAATTTACGTGCATTTTTATTAAGGATTTATTCCAATAACATTTTCACAAAAAAAACTTTCATTCATTTGAAAAGCTCATCTAAACAAGCTCTAATTTACTACCACATAATCTGAAGTTATGCCAAGAGTGAAGCAAACTGTAAAAACCACAAAGGAAACTAACAAAAATGATTTTCCGCCGTTAGATTCAAACCCCAGATCACGGATTCACATGAACAATATAAGCAAAGCTGTATTTGAAGTTGCAGATTTAACACCCAGAAAAAGCAATGAACAACAAAGCAGAAAACGCAGAAGTGGGTGGTGAGAAACGTACAGGAGAAAGAGAGGTAAGAGTTTGTTACCTCTGGAAGCTTGGAAGCGAACCCGCTTGTTCAGTCATGGTGGTGGACAGAGCCCCACCTCTCTCTTCTTCTCTCTCTTTTTGTCTGAATATATTCCTTTCTCTCCTCTCTGCTTTTCTACCTACTTCACTTCTTCCTAAACCTTTGTCAAGTTTACTTTTTCTTGGCTGATCCCCATTTTATTAAAAAAAAATAGTGATCAGCCGTAGAATCTATTTCGTATCCAACTTTAACAATTCAAATTGTTTATTTTATAAATTTTGATTTATAGATTATTTTTGCAAAAAATTAGTTTAATTCGAAATCATTTGTCTATTTCATTATCACGATGAAATTTCAATGTTTTTCTTAGAGCAAAGTGTTCGTCAATTTATTTGAACTCAATTTGATGCCTCAAATATTTTTGATTTGGTTAATATTTTGTAAGCATGATTTATGAGGTTCAACTTGAAAAATAGACGATTCGGATCGTAAAAATTCGATATATGGACCTTACAATTAATGCTCATTTATAAATACTAAAAATAAATAAAATAAAATAAACAACTAATGAAAAGAGTTTGAAA